GGGGGGGGGGAGGTTGGAAGAAGACAGAAGGATCTGCCAAACCCGCCTCCCGCCCTGGGAAAAAAAAAATCAACGAAAATGAAATGAAAAGATGCGCCACGCTCGCCACGCCCCTCCAGCCCTTTCCCTTGCTCCATTTCCCACCGACCCTCCCCCACCGAGCCCGGTTCTGCGGCTGCCGCGCGCGCCAGGCGGCGGGGTGAGGGGCGAGCGACCTCCCCTCTCGGGCTCCGCAGCGGAGACAGCCCGTCGGGAGGGTTGGGAGACCCCGACGCGTCGTGGAGACCAGCCTGGGATCTTCCGCGGGGCCCGGCCACGGCGGGGGTGTCCCTGGGGGGGGGGGGGGGAAGAGTGGGGGGGCGGCTTCCTCCCCCCCCCCACTCTTCCGCCCCCTCCCCCAGGAACGGAGGCTGGAGGTGGTGGGCCGGCAAGGAACGGAGCTCTCCGCGGGGCGAGTGCTGGCCGGCTTCCCCAATGCCCACTTGGAACGCCGATGGGAGCCGCAGCTCGTCCTGGTTCTGTCCCGGCCCTTTCCCGGAGCCTGGGGCGGCCCGGAGAGTCCCGCCAATGCCCAGAGGGCGTCCGCGGGAAGTCAGAACGGCCGGGCGGGTGGGAACTACGGTGGGAACGACGCCCTGTGGGGACCGGAGGCGTCTCACAAGGCGGCTCCGGGGAAGCCAGGTCCCGGCGCATCTTCCCAAGGACTAAGGACGTCTTTCGCCGCCTCCCTCGGTGTCCCAGCTCCGACGGGCGCTGGGGAGAAAGGCGGCCCGCGTGGGGATAAGTGGGGACAGCTGTGACACCTTAGGAACCGGGGAGCTTCGACGGCCTGGAGCCCAGCCGCGCGCCCTTCAAACCCGGAGCATCCCCGTTAGGAAGACGGTTCCGAGTTTGTCGAAGGCGTCCTTCCTCCTCCTCCTCCTCCTCGTCCCTGTCTCGGGACCAGCGACCTCCCGACCCTACCTCCGCTTCCAGGTAAGCCTGACAAAGAGACCGAGTTTTCCTTTGAGAGGAATCGCTTTGTTAAAATAAAAAAAAAAAGGGAGACGTGCATTTTAAAATGAATGCATATATTGGGTTTTTTGCAAATATGTAGAGGGCAAAGGAAGGAGGAGAAGCGATTTTTGTCCAAAGGGGCCGCGTCGCTTTTCCCTGAGCTGCGACCGCTTCCATCCGAAGGCCGAGCGGAGCTGGATCGAGGTCGGATTTTGACCGGAGCCAGGCGGGGAAGGGAAAGCGAAGGAAGGATGACAAAGGGCCGTATCCAATTCATTCAGAATAGAGTTGGAAGGGACGTTGGAGGTCTTCTAGTCCAGCCCCCTGCTTAAGTAGGAAACCCTATACCATTTCAGACAAGTAGCTGTCCAGTCTCTTCTTAAATTCCTCCAGTGATGAAGCACCTACAACTTCTGGTGGCAACCGGTTCCACTGGTTAACTGTCCTCACTGCTGGGAAATTCCTCCTTCATTCCAGGTGGCTTCTCTCCTTGATCAGTTACCATCCATTGTTTTTTCCTCCTCCTCCTCCTCCTCCTCCTCCTCCTCCTCCCCCTCCTCCTCCCCCTCCTCCTCCTCCTCCTCCTCCTCCTCCTCCTCCTCCTCCTCCTCTTCATTTCCATCTGTTGTATCCTGTCCTGCCTTCGGATGCTTTGGAGAATAAATTGACCCCCTCTTCTTCTTTGTGGCAGCCCCTCAAATACTGGAAGACTGCTATCATGTGGCGGCTAATTCTTCTTTTCTCTAGATTAGCCAAACCCAAATCCTGCAACTGTTCTTTTCATATACTGGTATATTTATATTTATACACACACACACACACACAGAGAGAGAGAGAGAGAGAGAGAGAGAGAGAGAGAGAGAGAACGGTTGCAAGGATTTGGGTTTGGCTAGTGTGTGTGTGTGTGTGTGTGTGTGTGTGTGCGTGTGTGTATTTGTCTCCAGGCCCTTAATCATCTTAGTCGTTCTTTTCTGCACTTTTTGTTTCTCAAATTGATTGACAAGTCTGTCCAAGCTGAAGCCTTCTGAGATTCTTCCGAAATCCTTTCTCTCTCGAGCGAGCGAGCGAGCGCCAGTCCAGTCGTGAGGTTGCTTGGGATCTCCTGAGTTCGTGGGAAGGTCTCACACCAAAATCACAACCGGTTTATTTTTTAACCCCATCCCTTCACAATTGTTCCTGGCAAGGAGCCTCGTTGTTCCTTGGTCTCCATTGGCTTTTCCCCACCAAGCCCATGAGGGGGATGATGAGGGGGAAGATTTGGGTCCTATTTATTTTTAAAAAAATAAATAAATCTGGTCATTTGCGGGGTGGGGGGGGAATGCGGAGAGGCTCTTGCCTTTTTCCCCAATGCAGACTGGCGGGGGGGGGCTCCTTCTTCGTCCCTTTATGCGCGAGGGTATCCCAGGGTCTTGTGAAGAAAAGCAAGATAAATGTGTAAATAGAAATAATTGCCTTGTCTTCCTGATAAAGAAAAAAGAGCCTTTATCAACCAGCGTTTTATTTTTCCTTCAAAAGAAAGAACAACAACCCACGGAATGATTCTGAAAGAATGGTAGGATAACGGAGGAGGCTAGTGTGGTGCGAAGAAAACGACGTCTAGAAATCCAGAAGAGTAATACACACACACACACACACACACACACATACACACACACACACACACACACACACACACACACACACGGGGAGTGGGAGCAGAGACAGAGAGAGAGAGAGGGAGGGAGAGAAGAGAAAGACAGACAGACAGACAGAGACAAACACACACACATACACACAGAGAGACAGACAGACAGACA